TGACATGCGCATATAACCTATTCACCAGTGCTGTAATATTTCATTTCTTCTGACACATATCGACACGAGAAACTATATTTAAATTTAAAAGGAACCCAAGTAGGATGGAAATTTCAGTCTGAACCTGTTGAACAAGGCTTGTTTCATTTTGGGCTATAGCAATGCCGCAAGGCCTGGGCGGAAGGGAACACATGTTTGCACCCATCAGATACCAATCACAACTTCTCTCTCCAAACGAAAACAAAATACGAAAAATGTCGGAAGTGTATCCTTCTAATTTTCTATTTAGATACATGTTTTAACTTTAAAGTAATTATATGTATCTCATGTATTATTGGCATCTGTGATGCTGGTACCGTTTTGTTGCCATTGTGTAGCTTTTGTGGAGTTATTATGAATATCCAATTCATGTCTTGAAATATGGACTTGTGAAATAACTCATCATTGAATCATTTGCATTTAAATTTATGCATATACCATTTACTTGGCGTGTATGGACATATTATCCATCTACTTATACACACTTATTATAGACAAATACAGAATTTCATTGTACCTTATTATTTTAAAAAATACTCGTGAAGATCCGGGTTAGAATAGGCATTCAACAACCCATGCTTGTACGAAGGCGACTTGGCTCGCTGACTTGGTTGATGCATGTCATCGTATCCCAAATGCGTAGATCGGTGCTCTTGATGATAATAACTAAATTGTTTGGTCCAGACTGGATTATTTACGAACCACCGTCATATAGCTGGTATTTTGCTGAGTGCGGCGTTAAACAACAAACAATCAAACACAATCTATATAATTATTAAACACCTTCCAACAATGAGAAATTAAATTTGTATTTTCTAAATATTCTGTTATATTTATAACATAATTTGATTCATAATTTACTTATTGCGTTGCTTTCTTCCCTGTCATTCAATGTGCATGTTCAAACCCCCAAACTTTTAATATTTCATTTTTCATAAATGGATACGTTAGTGAGTTGCCTAGATCTCTCGTTACCTACTCACAAGAATAGATTAAAATAATTTGTTTTACTATCATACTTCTGTTTATCTAATTCATAATACGAAATTGATAATACATTTATCATAGTATAGATCATATTCGTGTATATCACTATCTGATGCTACACTTTGATAACAAATTATAATCAAGTTGATTGGTGTGTACATTACTACAGTGAACATGTACATGATCATGTCCTGATAATCAAATGCCGTTATGTCAAATACTAATTTATTATTGTGTGATGAATTTAACTGGATCAGTGGTAACATGTGATATTAATATTCCATCAATTTCTTTCCTGGTTAGTCCATTCATGTCTACAAAATGAAAATAATACAATTAAAATAATTCAAAAAGCAACATAGAAAATATATATGCTACCATGACGAAAGAATACAGAGTATACATAACTCGCAATTCTGTATATTCAGCAAACAGCCCAAAACCGAAACTCCACAACATATCCGATTACACTGATTAAGGCTGTCCCAGTTCTCCATGCGATACTGACGCCCGTTCTTCTCCCAGACCATACAGAATAAATTTAAAAGGAATCCAGCTCAAGTCTAGAACGATTTGGCAAGCCTAGATTGCCTTAATTCTATCCATGAAAGTAAGCATTATTAAAAAAATATTGTTCTTGTCTGCTTCAGATTATATTTTGTAGATACTTATTTTAACTAGGAAAATTGTACTGACACCGGTGCTGTCCCTATTGAAGCTATCCATAAGAATTTCGAATTGCCGTCCATTGTTCGATGTCAATACATGATGACAAGTGAGGATATCATAAAGTAATCGTTGATGCCGCGCTACACTTTGATAACAAATTATAATCAAGTTGATTGGTGTGTACATTACTACAGTGAACATGTACATGATCATGTCCTAATAATCAAATGCCGTTATGTCAAATACTAATTTATTATTGTGTGATGAATTTAACTGGATCAGTGGTAACATGTGATATTAATATTCCATCAATTTCTTTCCTGGTTGGTCCATCCATGTCTACAAAATGAAAATAATACAATTAAAATGGAGCACAGAACAAATCTTAATTTCAGGCTAGAGCTGTGGAAATCAAGACTTTCCAAATCATTACAGACTTGAGTTGGTCTCATGTTTTACATTATTCTCTTGGGTCAACGTCACAGCTCATACCATACACTAACAAGACCAGTTTGCCCCCCGCCGGAGCTCCCGGATTTTGGTTATATCATCTAACATGGCCAACTCTGCTCTTAAGTAAACAAGAACCTAATCAGCGAGGGGTCCTTTATCATCCCTATGTGGCTGCTTATAAAAATCTGATATCTTTTCCCAAAGACCTGGTTAATAATATATTTTCTGCTGAATATTCGAAACAAATAGAGTGAGTTGGTACTACATGTACATGTGTATACGGTTCTATTTTAAATGCCTGCAGCGCTCCATTATGAAAACAATTTGTTTTAACGCCGCTCTCAGCAGTATTCCAGTGATATATGACGGCGGTCTGTTGTATATGAAATATATGCAAATTGAATCTTGAATCTTGAAAGTTGTAACATTTCCCCAAATAAGTATATTGCAGTATACAGTATATCAACTGCAATATACTGTATACAACATTCAGTACACAGTGTGTCGCGAGCTCTGCGCTGGGCTGGAGCACACATTTCCTACACCTCTCCCTTCGGCAAACACATCACGAGGGTTGCAACGAGGTCACAGGTCAGGCGTGCACTCGTCAGTTGTCTAATACGGTCAAGAGTAGGATCTTCCGGAAGACCACTGCACTGGAGGTATGTGGATTATTGAGGAGGTACTACGTGTTTGGAACTGGGAGTTGAACACTAAGCACTTTTAGAGAAGTGCTCACAATAAAACGTTATGGACTCGCGGACGGACTTGCGTTTTCATTTCAAGACGTACATTTATGAGGTTGAACTTCCTAACTGTAACAATAACTGAACTTTACGCATTTTATACACATTTGTGATGGGGCGACAATGCGACAACGAGACATATTTTGACCTTGAAAATATCGCGTTACGGCATCGTCGCCCTTTTGTAAATTAAAGAAAAGGATTATCAAAGAGCGACAATGCGAACACGCGACAATGCCACAAATGGCCAATTGTCGCGCTTTTGTTAATTTTGACACGTTTTGCTTGTTTTTGTAAGGGCGTCAATGCGACAATGTCCCTTCCATAGTAATCCGTGCAAATAAAACTGAGTAATGAAATAGAAGTCTGACTAGCCAGTTAAAAGGTAGAGTGTTGCAGCTTCTGATTTCATAGATCTTCAAGAAGGGTTATCAATAATGGGATGGGTGATGAGTTCAACTGCATACGCTGTGATTAACAATAATACTCCGAGTCAATACATTTTGTCAAATGTATGACATGTATTACTTGAATGAACATATTGTTTATACTCGTCCATGTTTTTGACGGACAAACTAATTTACATGCTCGGTAAAAGTGAGGACGGGCATCATTGTGTGTTTCCGTGCTTTGTTCAGGTGAACAATTGACTTGTCCTTGCATGTGTTTGTGACGGGTGCCACTTGTGTGGCAGGATACGCTCACCTTTTCCCGAACACCCATTGGATGACCTGAACCACTTCGGATTTTTATCCCACATCAATCTGATACACCATGATATAACTGAAATACTGAAATACTGTACAGTTGAAGATGATGTTTAATGCGATTACCGTAGTGTGTTACTGCAACTGTTCATATTTTGTGCAGTGATGTTATGTAATATGTAAAAGAAAGCATAATTATTCAATTATCCAATTGATTTTAATAGAATATACTTGCGTCAGTGTATTTTATTAACGCCCCAAATCGTAATTTAAACACAAAGAATAACAGATCACGCATGGTGCCTTGACTTACTACTAGATTTAATGGGCCACCCCGGAATAAAATAGTTCCCCCAAAGCGAGGAACATATGTTTTAGTATGTTTACAAGAAATATATTCCAAACAATATCCTCATTAGGTGAGAAGATCTTTTACAGAATTACCTCAGTAAGTCAATTACAATGACAGAGCGTCGTAATATATTTACATCAAGTACAATACGTCAAAATGGCCGACACGATAAACGTGACGGGAGATATTTTCGAAGTTGTTAATTAACCTGTGGCTATTTCAAGCCGTTGGCATCACTGATCAATTGGCCGATCACTGAAAGGTGATTGTGAAGATGTGTCAAATAGATACTAAGGTAAATTCAAAGATTACAGTAAATTGTCAATGCGACAGTTTGGATTTTTTTTCTCGTGTTTTTTCTCTCTGGGATGGGTTGTAGCGAGGGTATCCTTAAATGGGCTTGTAACCACACTTCTGTATGAATTCGTAACAGGGAATTCCAAGGGTTTTCCCCAGGAATGTGGAAGTAGTCAGTGTTTACGCCTTTTTCAAGAATACAGTCACGTGAAGAACGTCATGTGACCGACCTCGCGTCCAAGTCGTATATCTTGTAAACTTCACATTAAAATATTAGTTATTGTTATAACCAAATGAAACACAACCCATTATCCGATAGGGGTAACTGTGCATAGCCGTTACCACAATAAACTTAGTAACATTGTTTGGTTTGACTTCTTGGCACGTGTCTGAATTCCACTAACATGTTACATATCCTAAAACTAGCTTATCAGCAAATCTCGCAGCACTGCGCGCGACAGATACTAGAGCAAGGCATGCCAGAAATACGAAACCTAAAGCTTTCGAAAGGAAGCCTTGGACATCACGTGCGTCGGGGGTCCAGCGCCATCTGATTGGCCGTTAACAGTTGTACAAGGCGGAGCAAAAAGCATCGTTTTTCCGTCCATTTTACGCTTGAAAAACTCGACCCTTTTCTGGACACTTTCTAGACGCTGACCAATTAATCAATTTTAATGAATTTTTAGTCGTTTTTCCGTCCAATGACCATATACGGAAAAAAACGACGTTTTCGTGTTTGCAGTGAATATCACGGACGTTGTCTTAGCCCAGCCCTTGACGGTCACAGCTGATCACTTTGGAGACATCGATGTCACATTCCTGTGTGACAGCATCACCAGAACACTTATCTGTGCCGGAGTTGACAAGTTGAGTGGTAAGTTTTTGTTTTTTATGCATGTATGTCATTGTATACTGAACCGCAAAAGAAACATCACCATGGATAGAAATATGAAAAACCTTATTTGTCCAAACACTGTCAACATACTTTGAGATGTATTAAAAAGATCTGATCATCAAGGTTGAAATTAAAGTGTTACATGTTCTTAAAATGAAACACAAAACTTGTCTCTGAGAAAATGGCATCACAAGTCAGTATCTCGTGTGTCCACCATGTTCATTGATGACTGCCGTGCAACGTCGATACGTTGAATGAATGTGGCGGTTGATGAAGGCCATAGGCACTTCAGCCCACACTCTGAGGAACGCCTGACGCAGTTCAGCTGCAGTCATTCAGCCGTCTTTGAATGTCGTCCTACAAGTAGTCAATGGGATTTTCATCGGGACTAAGGGCAGGTCACTGCATGGTTCTGATGCCATTCTGCTCTCTTGCTGATCTTGAATTGTGGGCACGGGCGTTATCATGCTGGCGACGTGCCAAATGAAATATGGCGTGTAGTCTCAAGACTTGATCAATGTACCGAGCTGCTGTGACACCATTGCCTCTCCCTGGACCGATATTCTTGAAGACAACAGGGCCAACCCTCTGTGCAAGACCAATATCATCCCACACCGTGATGCTCGGACCACACCACGAGTCTTTCTCAACAACACAAACATCCGAATAACGTTACCGACTGTTGAGATGCAGTAACCACTCTCACGTGAGAAGAGGACTCTTCGCCAATGCTAGTGGCACCAATGCTTGTGCTATGTTGCCCACTGGAGACGATCCCGGTGATGGCATGATGGCAGAATGAGTCCTAAGTGTGGCCTATGACAGTGGAGCTGTCTGCTCGTCAATCGTCGACGCACGATGTCGGCACTAATGTGTCACTGGTGTGTCCCCTTTGTCTGTCGAGCAGTTCCCGCAGCTGCACAAAGCAATCTTGAAGATGCTGTCGCAGAATCAGACGATCCTGACGTCGGGTGATGTCTCTTGGTCTTCCACTACGTGGTCGGTCATCTGTAGTGTTGGTGGTCTGGTACCGTTGCTGGAGCCTGTATATGGTACTTACGTTTTTGACCTCAGACAGTAACTAAAAAAAAATGGATTAAGTAAACGAGTTACGTTTGATGTTTCATGTAAAAATGTTCCTTAAAGTCTCTACTTGACATGACACGTGAAAAAGATCTGAAGTGGTATGACCGCCACGTGCCCGGATGGTGCATTCCACCCTACGTCTCATGCCTCCAGTCAGATGTTGGATCTGTTAATGGGTCAACAACAACTATTCCTGATGCAATTCGCGTACATCTTGTACAGGAGGATCTCGTGCCTGTATGCGCCGCCCAAGAATATCCCAAACATGTCCAAGGGGGTTCAAATCTGGGCTCATTGCTGGCCAGGGTAGAGTCGTTATTGCATTTGCCCTCTTGTAATCCACGCTTGCATGCGAATGATGAGGCCTGGCATTGTCATCAATGTACTGAGGTCGAGTTGCACGAGGGTGGTTGTCAAAATGCTCAGTTGCCCTTTATGGTGACCAAATCCAACCTGCAACCATGAGAGATACACACACACACACACACCCCCCACACACACATCCCACCCCCACCCGAAACCTATACCGAGACCCCGCCATATGCAACAGTTGGTTTAATGTTTCTGGGAGTGAAGGCCGTGTTCCGGTGCCTCCGAACTCTCGTTCTTCCATCAGTGACGTTGAGCAGAAAGCGACTTTCGTCTGACCAATGTATCCGTCTCCAAGTTCTCAGATTCCAGTTCCGTCGCGTTATACACCATGCTAAGCGAGCTGCTTTGTGATGATCTCTCAAAAAGGGACGCTTTATGACTCGTCTAGCCCTCAGTCATGATGCTTTCAGCCGGTTCCTGGCGTTTCTGGTGCTGAAACGACGATTGTGCAACCACAGCTATTAAAAAGGGTGATCGGCGATTTGTCGATTTGCCATCTTGGGGCGTTTGGTAATCGCCTTGGAATAACTGTTTAAAACTGAGATTAAGAAAGCAATTTTAACGTTTGGATATACTGAGTTTAGAGATACTCGACGGTATACCATGCATGGCACGTGAGCTTTCGTCACGCATGACTGATAACATCATCTCGAGAAAACATAATTCTTCCCGCAATTATGCCTTATTTACTGTTACAAACATTGGAACCAAACAATGATGAAATATATTAGGGTGTATTGTTCAAGTTGTTTTTGTAATATTTCAAGATGTATTCTGGTGCGTTTTCAATGCTGTTCAGTATATTAGGATGTGCTTAACTGTTTTCTTTATGTATATATTTCTTAAACGTTTTGATTTACTTACAAGCGGCCACGTCTCTGCACTGGAACGCTGGAACGCTGGAACGCTGGAACGCTGCCATATCACGCTGTGTGAACATTTTTGTGACGTTAATGTCAGTCAGATACATGAAATATGGAACATATACCTTAATTGTGATATACACGTTAACATATGAGGTGTTGATTCCACACAAGTGGAACAAATTACCTACAAGCATGCAGAAAACACATTCCCTACACAGTTCATCTATGTTCCATATGGCGTTTTTAGACAAGTGGCAATGGGTTCATCGTGGCTGCCTATATCTCAGCCATTTAACCCTAGGTGGACCCAAAATACTTTGTTGGTTAAGACCCAACGTTGCCTCGACACAAGGTGACAAAGCAGGACCATCCAATCTTCATTTTCTAGTTACATATTTTTATCCAACGTTGAGGATACCAACACCTTCGAATGCGTTATCCATTTCGGGAAGATATGCTAGGCGTAAATATCATGAACAAACCTTAAATAACGCAGTGGTTAACAACACATTAGTGATATGCTTGGTGTGACCTCATGTGACTCCCTGTCACCTTTATGTGTCGAGCAACCCAGAACAATTGCACTACATTTTGATTTAGTGGAGAGGTGTGACAACAACCTAGGCCTTATCGTATTACCTAGCACCAGGTGTGACTATAACCTGGTCCTTATCGTATTACCTGGACCGAGGAGTGACAACAACCTTGGCCTTATCGTATTACCTGACACAAGGTGTGACAACAACCTTGGCCTTATCATATTACCTGGACTGAGGTTTGACAACAGCCTTGGCCTTATCGTATTACCTGGCACGAGGTGTGACAACAACCTTGGCCTTATCGCATTACCTGCACGAGGTGTGACAACAACCTTGGCCTTATTGTATTACCTGACACAAGGTGTGACAACAACCATAGCCTTATTGTATTACCTGGCATGAGGTGTGACAACAACCTTGGCCTTATCGCATTACCTGCACGAGGTGGGACAACAACCTTGGCCTTATCGTATTACCTTCACGTGGTGTGTCAACAACCTTGGCGTTATTGTATTACCTGGCACAAGATGTGACAACAACCATAGCCTTATCGTATTACCTGCACGAGGTGTGACAACAACCTTGGCCTTACCGTATTACCTGGCACGAGAGTAACAACAACCTTGGCCTTATCGTATTACCTTGCACGAGGTGTGACAACAACCATAGCCGTTTCGTATTACCTGGCACGCTTACGCGATTTGGATTAACTTCATAGAGCGAAAAGGTCCCTGCTTAATGTTATGTACCAAAAGGGCTTAGAAGGATGGTGGGCGGCGGTGGGGCAGAATACTCCTGGTATCATAACTATCTGATAGTAACACATGTTCTTGATATAGCCCGAAACGTTCGTTGGTTTTGAGATTGTGGAAATGGTTTTGTAGCATATTCTCAGAGTAAATTTACAAGTACAACATATTGGTAAAAGGTGAGTGAGTTGTGTTAACAGTGTGTGTGCGTGCGTGCGTGCATGTGTGCGTGTGCGTGTGTGCGTGCGTGCGTGCGTGCGTGCGTGTTTGTTTGTTTGTGGCTGCTGTAGCAGTCTGGACTAATGCTGATTTTATAGTGCTAGCCCACTGAGATACCTTGTCGCAGTTTAACATGCATATCCCACTCAGGCACAAGCCCACCAGTCCTTGTTTTAGCCCCTTGATGCCGCGCGCCAGACAGGGTCATAACTAGTATTATATTTTAACGTCTTATGATATGACGCGGTCGAGGATCCACGCCCGGACCTCCCACTCTCATGCCAGGCTCTCCATTACAGTGTGTCCATCGATCCCGAGTTGTGACCCTGATGAGTTATAGCCAGGCTACCACGATGTCCTTACTGGAAATAAAACCTGGGCGCTTTAAGCAGTCACATCATAACGATTATCGGAAGTCTATGTCTCATCGTTAATATTGCTTACAAGTAACTCCCTTATTTACTCACTGAACTGATATTGAAAATATAATCGCATGTTTTTCTGAACTTGTAGAAGCAGCACAGTCGACAGAAACAACTCCAGTCACAGTACCCGGTAAGTTGAATATATATATTGAATTAACACTAACTTGGGGAATGTTGACGCAGATATATGCGCTACCCTACGGCTAGAACTAATAGTATCTACATATAGGAAAATCTTAAATCTTTCAAAATGTCTGGATTAGTGAGTGCATTTTTACGCCAAGAGGGAAAACATTTTCAACCAAAACCTCGGAGGCAGACGACTGGGTCACCCGTGCCCCCCAACTTATATACCGTCTAACTGCAAGAAATACCAGAAAAAGTAAGAAAACATCGACATACCTTATTGTGAAACAATACAGTGTATCGGGGTAAAAAAGGGAATTCGCTTAAAGCGTGCAAGAGAAAAAATACGTGCATGGTCTACGTGCAGCTGGAATATTTCTAAAAGCGGCGTTAAACAATCACTCACTCATGATTCACAATTTCTTGTTTAAGATGTAACGACCACCAGTGTCGACACCTCCACGGTACCAACCGAGAAACCGTTCACCTCCAATAGACCGACGTCCACGCCCAGCAGACCGATGTCCACGCCCAGCAGACCCACTGCTACTGAAGACACGGACACTCCAACTGATGCTACTCTAGGCCTTGCTATCGGACTGTCTCTGCTTGCTGCCGTCTTACTTATACTCGCTGTCGTCCTCATTGTCCGCTATCGTCATGTAATAGGAAAATACATCGTCACAACACGTGATAGTGACTTCAAACAGACCGACGTCCATGCCAAACAGACCGACGTCCACGCCCAACAGACCGACGCCCACGCCCAACAGACCGACGTCCACGCCCAACAGACCGACGTCCACGCCCAACAGACCGACGTCCACGCCCAACAGACCGACGCCCACGCCCAGCAGACCAACTGCCACTGAAGACAGAGACACTCCAACTGATGCTACTCTAGGCCTTGGCGTCTTACTTGTAATCGCTGTCATCCTCGTTGTCCGCTATCGTCATGTAATAGGAAAATACATCGTCACAACACGTGAAAAGGACCCTAAATATATCAAAACCAAATTTTTAAACTATTACTTACTGTAAAATGTTTGAAGTCAAATAACTGATTCGCGAATTATTTTTAGTACAGACATTTCAACTTGCTGGCTGTACGAAGTGCTTGCCAGGTAAAGTTCTAAACAGTTCAGCATCATCAGTGGATGAATGAGTACATATGATTTTAAGCAGCTTTTACCAATAGTCCAGCCACATCACGGCGGTGACAACAGAAGCAGGATCACCACAAAAATACGAATCAGGCATTATTATTTTACCAGGACAGTGTGTTTTCTTTTAAGCAACTTTCATAAACTTCCCCCCATTAAGAAGACGCATATGATAAAAATGTGCCAGTCATGTGTGTTTTAAATTGCCTGAAACAAAATATTGTTATTGCAGACATATATACCACTAAAGGAGTTCATGTCAACAACATGTTTAGGTACCTCACTGTATTTTCCTTTTGTATTTTTTCTGATGAAAAGCCTTTTCGAACATATATATATTTTGTGTATACTCAGAAACAGATATGCAATTAAACTTGTTGTGTGTTCATTGTAGTTACTGCAATCGAGTTGACTTGATTGGTCAATTTCTTCAGCATTCAGTTCCAATTGAATGGAAAATGATAATCCACGTATATGGATATGTACTACTTTCATCGGCCTGGGGGGAGTGAATATGGTTTTACGCCGCTTTTAGCAATATTCCAGCAATATCACGGCGGGGGGCACTAGAAATCGGCTTCACACATTGTATCCATGTCGACACCTACCAATGTTAATCCTCTACTGTTAATCTTCCACCTACTATAGAAACTAATGTCCAAAAATAACGATACTTACTTTTTATAATTCATTTTGAGTTATAAGTGATATACTTTATATGAAAACACATTTAAACATACCCTTCGTACCAATCCAAATGTGATCGGTGGGAAAAAGCCGGAACATTTGACAATTTGTGTAAAAAACGTACACTTTGCAAAAACGATGTCATGTGCCGTAGCACGAAATCCACGTGCAGATCTACTGTTAAATCTGTTGACCCGACACGTTAGGAATACAACACCAATACAAATGCCTGCATGCTAAAATATGATTAAAATGAATTTTTGTACACATGATGTAAAAAGATTGCTCTAATGGAATATACCAATATTAATTTTCTCGTTTTGTTTTACTTCCATAACCTTTTGAACACATGGTATTGTTTCTTTTGGACATTAGTTTATATTATGTACTATGTCTCTCATTCAGGCTTGCTTGACAACGGTATAAGGATATCTACTGCAACGTCGCTTTTACAGTTTTAAATAAGTTGTTATCCATAAAATTGTGTCTATCTTGTCATCCGTCAACTTCTAAGTAATGCCTATCAAACAATTTAGCTATATTGTGACAGCCACCACAACACAAATACATTATTGACACCACGAACCCAATGAAAATGAGTACTCCTCCATTCTGCGTCCAGTCCTGTCATGGTCCGGCACCGGGTGCGGTGCAATTTAGCGTCTCATGTTGTAAGGTGTCTTGTCACCAGAAAGTTACCACCGGCATCCTTTCAAGTTGTCACTGGTGATCACAATTTTGAGTATGTAAGACCTGACAGTGTGTTGTGTCCTGAGAGCTACTCCTACTCCCTGTATGACCTGACAGTGTATTGTGTCCTGAGAGCTACTCCTACTCCCTGTATGACCTGACAGTGTGTTGTGTCCTGAGAGCTACTCCTACACCATGAAACAAAACAGAAAAACACATCTAAGCTGGTCTGAGCAGCGATGGCATATGATGACAAACGCCCCGTCAATGCATTTTGGACCTACATAAACAATCATTTTTTTTTCAAATTGCAACAAGATCCACTCAGTTCCGCTTACACATACCCAACTAGGTATACCACTAGAAATACGAGGTAAATACAACAAAGGGGCGGAGGGGTAACCTTGAGGTTAAAGCGTTCGCTCGTCACGCCGAAGACCCGGGTTCGATTCCCCACATGAGGTTAATGTGTGAAGCCCATTTCTGGTGTCTCCCTCTCTAATATTGCTTGAATATTCTTAAAAGCGGCGTAACAGCATACTCTCTCACTCAACACACCGAAGAATCCTGTAAAGTGTGCCGTACATCGTGTCAGCTTGTTTTTAGGAACACAGCAGAGGGAATGTCTAGATATAGGAACACTACAAGCTGTGGCGGCGAATCGATATGTTTTCTTAATGATAATAGAAAGGAGGTTTACTACCCTGGATCATCGAGGATGAGGCGAAACAGATAGTTTTCGTTTGATGAAGCATTTGTTCTCAAACAGGGGACATAGTGTAGCTGTGTTCGTTTGTCCACAAAGCGGTTAGCAGTAATCAAGGTAAATCAAACAGTTGACAGTGTGTATTGGGATTCGTTTGTTAACACAACAGTCAACATTACTGCAGTTATGTCTAAAAGAAGTTTCAATGAGCAAATTTAGACATGAATGTTAGGAGCGTTGCTATCATTAATCATTTAAAGTATCATAAAACTTCGATGAGGGCTAAGCTAACATTAGGAAACATGTTGCAATAAATAATGTATGGGTAGATTACGACAGGGGCGAACGTCACTTTGAAGTGCACATCAGGTGTATAAAGGTCACCTTAAGTACCGGGTGTGGTGCAGTTTAGCTTCCTATGTTGTCAGCCAAGGTGTCAGAAAAAAGTTACCACCGAAATCCTTTCAATTTGCCCTTGTTGATCACATCGTTGAGTTGGTAGCACACACCTTCCCGTGATAAAAACACAGAAAATAATATCCAAGCTGAGGTTGAGACAGATGTATTTTGTTTGAGAGGCATTACTTAGAAGTTGACGGATGACTAGATAGACACAATTTTATGGATAACAACTTTTTTAATACTGGGGAAAGCGACGTTTCGGTATAGATCCTTATACCGTTGTCAAGCAAGACTGAATGAGGGACATAGTACAGAATATATATAGTAGGTGGAGGAATAACAGTAACAACAATTTTGCATACATGAGTGGGTTAACAACGGTATAGGGATCTATACCGTAACGTCGCCTTTCCCAGTATTAAAGAAGTTGTTATCCATAAAAAGTGTGTCTATCGAGACAGATGTAGACAAATGTCCAGTCAGTGTCCGTTTGTCAACAAAGCAGTTAGCAATAATCCAGGTGTATTAAATAGCGGACAAAGTATAGTTGCGTAGGTGTATTCCTTTGTTGTTACAACTATCAGGAATATTCCAGGTGTATCAAACAGTCGACATTGTGTAGGTGTGTTCCTCTGTTGAAACAACAATCAGGAATATTCCAGGTGTATCAAACAATCGACATTGTGTAGGTGTATTCCTTTGTTGAAACAACTATCAGGAATATTCAAGGTGTATGAAACAGTCGACATTCTGTAGGTGTATTCCTTTGTTGAAACAACAATCACGAATATACCAGGTGTATCAATCAATCGACATTGTTTATGTGTATTCCTTTGTTGAAACAGCAATCAGAAATATTCCAGTTGCAACAAACAGTCGACATTGTGTAGGTGTATTCCTTTGTTAAAACAACAATCAGAAATATTCCAGGTGTATGAAACAGTCGACATTGTGTAGGTGTATTCCTTTGTTAAAACAACAATCAGGAACGAACATTTAAGGTGTATCAAACAGTCGACATTGTGTAGGTGTATTGCTTTGTTAATACAACAATCAGGAATACACCAGGCGTATCAAACAATCGTCATTGTGTAGGAGTATTCTTTTGTTAAAACTACAATCAGGAATATTCCAGGTGTATCAAACAATCAGCATTTTGTAGTTGTATCCGTTTGTTAACGACGTTTTCAGTAACATTCCAGCTCTTTTGAAAAGGTCGTCAGGCTGCGTATATCAGCTGAATGAAGGTCATCTGAATGTGGGAGGGAAGACTGAAGTGATGCAAGTCTTTTATGACACCACTGATCACAGATACTGTGCTGACCAGTCAAAAGCCATAATCGGAGAGGTCCGGGAACTCATAGTCACAATCATTGGATCCGGACACAACGCAGCACAGGTTCGAATCCAGGTTCACCCCAATTATGTTTCTAGGTTTGTCAGCACGATACCCGTGCTCGTGGGTTTCACCCAAGTGGTAAACGTGTGAAACCTGCATTACTTTGGGCTTTCCTACGACATCAAGCTGACACGCCGTGATATAACTGGAATACTGTTAAAAGTGGCGTTAAACCCAACTCACTCGCTCGACGAAAATAACATAGAGCGCCGCCTTTGATACCCGCTCGCACAAAACGAGACTCTGACGTCATGACACAAAGATTGGGTCACGTTTACGTACATGAATAATGTGATATTGTTTACATGTATATTCATTTATGAAAATTATATTCTCCACTTTGTTAGGTTGCGGTGAGATGAAAGGGAGTATTATCATAACAGAATACTGCACTTATGTTGGGACGAGGATGTACGTATGCTTGTGTGTGTGTGTGTGTGTTCAAGTAAGTAGATTGTATGTATGAGTGTGTCTGTTTCAGTGTGTCCGTGTCTGCATGTGTATATGTGTGTGTACGCCTGTGTGTACGCATGTGTGTGAGTATGTTCGTATGTGTGTGAGTGTGTATGTATGTGTGTGGGTGTGTATGTGTACGTTCAATGTATGTGTGTTTGTTTGTGTATGTGCATATGCGTGTTTGCATATGTGGTCATGTGTGTGTGTGTGTGCACATAGGGCCAAACACAACATACACACTACAACGAACCTGCCATACATGTACGCACCTAGCCATAAAAAGGTGAGTGCAATAATCTTGAACACGACATTAAACCCCACTTTAACCCGCCATTACCACCCCCCTACCCCTCCCCCTATACATGACATTGTATACAATTATAGTTCCCTCCAACAGTTTGGTAACTGAATATAATGGTTATTTCAGGACAATACACAACCAAATATTCCCGAGAGACTCTTGCGCAGCCTGCGTAACTGTGGTTCCCGATGACATCATTCAACAAGTTCCTATATTATATGATTACATGATCAGTTTTCTCTCTCTCTCTCGAGAGAGAGAGAGAGAGAGAGAGAGAGACAGAGAGACAGAGAGACAGAGACAGAGAGACAGAGACAGAGAGACAGAGACAGAGAGAGAGAGCTGTGTCGTGCAGTTACCTGGGCTTAAGAGGACACGTTTCTAGGGGGTTTGCTCCCACTGTGACTGCATAACACGGTTGCGAAATAATGCCTCTACTGTTTCAAGCTTTTGTGTCGTGTTCAGCAATATGACGGTATGGCCCCGAAGCTATCTTTGACATAATAATTTGAAATGGATAGACGTCTTTTTCATGTGCACAAACTTCAGCAAGCAAAGTAGATATTGTTTATATTCTTCATATGATACTGGCATCCTTCAAAGACTCATTGGGGGCGTTGGTGGCCCAGTCGTCTAAGGCGCCGCGATTCGCTACATACAGTAGGGGATCGAAACGGGGTTTTAAGTATAGTATGGAGAAACGATTTTTTTAGTATGACAAAACGTTTTTTTAGTATGAGAAAACGTTTTTTTATAGTATGATGAAATGGGTTGATTAGTATGATGAAACGGGGTCTTTGGTATATTACGGAAAAGGGTTTTTAGTATGAAGAAACGGGTTAAGGTACATGGGTAATGTGATATTGTATGATGAAACAGGGTCTTTAAGTATGACGAAACGGGGTTTTTAGTATGATGAAACTGTTTTTTTAGTATGATGAAACGGGTTGGTTAGTACGATGAAACGGGGTGTTTAGTATGATATGATGGGTTAATGTACATGGGTAATGTGATATTGTATGATGAAACAGGCTCTTTTAGTATGACAAAACGGGTTTTTTAGTATGATGAAACGGGGTGTTTGGTATGACGAAAAAGGGTTGTTAGTATGATGAAACGGGTAAAAGTACATGGGTTAATGTGATATTGTTAACAAGTTTCATATGGAAATGATATTCTCCACTTGGTTAGGTGACGGTGAGATGATAAGGTGTATTGTAATAACAGAATACTGCACTTATGTTTGGACGAGGATGTACGTATGCTTGTGTGTGTGTGTGTGT